TCGAAGAACTGCCGAAAGAAGGACAAAGCTGCAAAGAAAAATGCACCGCCACAACCAAGGGCATTCCACATGATCCTCGACGAAGCGAATCAAGGATGAGGATTTTATATCCAAGGATCAAGTTATGAAGTAGCAGTGCGAATAGTAACTTATGATGTAGCCTATTAGAGGCATAGTATAGGATGAACTTGAACTTTTGTGTAATCATTTCAAGATTTAATATAAACCTTGGTCTTCTTATCTGATGTGATTGTGTGATTTCGTATGGTGACTTGGTTGAGTGAGGGAAAATACTTGGGACGAGTATGAGTAGAAGTGAATAATAGTAGAGATCTATACTACTGGAAGCACATGAATCACGCTTGGATCAGGGAAAGTCGCAACGTTACCAAGAAACTAGTAATTGATTCAATTTTATTCATGTATGTCATTACCATTGTTTCGGTAATGACTAGTAAGAGGGTTGTTATTCTAACCCTAGCGGTCATGACAAATTGATTCCGACTACGATGAGTTTGTTACGTGGTTCATAGACCCAAGTTCGATATAACATCTGACCTAAGTCAGAAAATTGAAATCAATGCGATCGATAGCATCGCGCTCGTTGTTAAGGATGCTTTTAGCTAGAAATGCTACATACAAAAGTGTGATTATATCACATTAGAATATGAAGGAAGGTATAATCCATTCTGGAATTTGACTCTAAGAGACTTGAGTCTAAGGTGCTGTTTGATTTTCTGAAGCAAAAATTCATGAAGTCTGCGGACCACCTCTACAACCCTCTGCAGTAGAAGAGGTGGACCAAACGGCTGCAGACTATAATAAGAAGCGTGTTTGTTTTTTTAACATCTGCATACTGCTGCAGATATCAAAAAATTAAAATAAACTAATTTTATAAACCGAAAATAGCTTTTTAATACGTAAAATTTAATAATGTATAACATTTCGGTAAAAATTAATGATATTTCAGTAAAAAAGAATGATATTTCAACAAAAAATAAAGATATTTTCAGTAAAAAATAATGATATTTCATCAAGAAAATTATTATTATTGAATATAAAAAAATGAAAAATAAATTCAATAAGAATAAACGAAAAAAAAGGGGAAAAAATATAAAATAAAATTTTAATAACATATAATCAAAATTTCAGCAATAAAATAAGAAGAAGAAGAGGTTGGAAGAGGCAGTACAAGTGCTGCGCCAAACAGAGCACGCGCAGAGGTTTTTGACTCAGAAGACTTCTAAAAAACAAACAGTTGCGAGATGAAAAGTGTTGCGCGTGTGCTGCGCCGCGCAGCAGTAAGAGGTTTGAAGAAGTTTTTTCCAAAAAACAAACAGCACATAAGCGTTGCATCATACGATGAGAGGTCATTAGAACATGACCCATTGGTCTGTTACAATAGATAAAGGAAAGTACTTACTTAAGAAGAAGAATGAGTCATAATAAGGATTTATTTTGTAACTCGAAGGTTACAATTGAAAGTACAACATAGTACGAAGAGCAGATGCAGGATTGAGCACTACCTGCTATCGAGAAGTCCAATAGTTAGATACTCTTTAGAGGAAATATAGAACTTATAGTTATTACTTAGGATGGAGAGATAACTTATGGAGTCAGTATACAAATCCTATTTCGTTGATGATTCCGGGACACAATCATCCTTAGGGGGAGATAATTGTAACACTCGTAGATCCGGGCTAGTCAAATTAGATACGATAAGCATCAAAAATGACTTTTTGATGGAAGATTATTTATAAGTATTAATCTTAACCAAATTGTATTATATTTCACAAGGTTTCCGTGCATATAAAGAACACCAAAATCCAAGTTATAACGAAGAAGTTATGACCTGTCGAAGTTTCGCGACAGAACCGGCATGACCCAACGCGAGCCCGTGCGACGTAAATAGTGAATTTAAGGTAGATAGATATCTACCCTTAGTGATCTAAACGAGAGTCAAATATTTCTTCGATAGTAGTCCAACGATAAAAAGACAACCAAAAACAGAGTTCAGATGAAGGAGTTATGAATTTCGAACATAGTTTTCCTATCCCGGCCTACTAAAAATAATATATAACTAATATACTTATAATATATTAAAAATCAAGTCAAAATTAGCCATTGAAGTCTAAGCGATAGTTGTAGAGCATAATCTCACCTTCGCGTCGATATAAAGAGCATCGAAAACGAAGTTCGTATGCGAAAGTTATGAATTTCTGAAGTTCGGGGCACGAACCCCAAAGTTGTGTCAAAGACCACGACATGGCAAGCAGTTCCACGACGTGACAAGCCTTCTGAAACCTCCGGGAGTCCCCCAGATGCAACTTGAGATGACGCATGCAGTGATGACCAAGCCCACGACGTGGCAAAAGGTGTCACGACGTGGCAAGGGCTAGTTTTGCCCTATAAATAGATTTGAAGGGCCAGCCGAGTTTGGTTGCTCCTTCTCTCATATCTCTCTCCCGTTTTATCTCGATTTATGTGAAAGAAATATCTCGAAGCCCCGGTATCATCCCGAGACCCGAAGCGAGTCCCGAAGCCCGAAGATCCCGAGAAGAAAAGAGTTTCCGAGCCGAAGCTCTGCCTGCAAGAGTCCGGTTTTTTTAGAAGATCTTCCAGATCTACCGAAGAATACTACTTCTACAAGTCGTAGTGTTGTTTGATCATCTTCTGGTCAAGTGAGTGTGTGGTCACTTAATTCTAACACATAAATATTAAGTATTTGCTATGAAGTACGTGCTATGTGTATAATATAAAGTTGTTTATATGTGTGAGTGTATAGTCCCTTTCATAACACGATTTTAATACAAGTATTGTTTGAATGTATTAAGTATATGTTTTGGGTGAATATGTGATCACTTTCTTCTAGAATATATATGTTAAGTATTTTCTATGAAATATGTGTTATGTGTTTATATATTGTTGTTTATTTGAGATGAATGTTGGATGTTTTATATAGGTGTTAAATGAGTTAATATGTATATGTATTTTATATCTACAAATATGTTGGGTAGAACATGGGTAGATGAATTAGATGATATGTGATGATAATTAGGTGATGAGAAATAGGTGATGATAATTAGGTGGTGAGAAATAGGTGATGATAATTAGGTGATGACAAATGGGTGATGATAGATAGGTGATGATAAATGGGTGATGTGAGATGAGAGGAGATACCATAACCTTGACCAGCGATGTGGAAAATTGGCGATGTAGTCATCTACCATAGTATAGATGGCAACCACGGGCTATTCTAGATGAACCCGTGGAAACACCAGCAGGCTCATAACCCGATGAATTACGAGTTCAGGCGATGTTGTAACTACGTATTCATGTGATGATACTCTAACCTTTACTATGAATTAAGAGTCCAGGCGATGTTGTGGCTACGTATTCATGCAATGATTTCCTAACCCTTACTATGTATTATGAGTCCAGGCGATGTTGTGGCTGCGTATTCATGCGATGATAGCCTAACCCTTACTATGAATTACTAGTCTAGGTGATGTTGGGACTACGTATTCATGCGATGATCCTTACTAAAAAGTTCTTAGGAATAAACATACAAGGAAATGTGATTTAAGGAGATGAGAGGTAAATACGATGTATGAGATGATCCTTAGGATAATTCCTTAGGGAAGGTACTTAAGAAATAAATGGAGATAACGGGGATGGGTAATTGGGTTGATTTTTTGATGATTGAATATATATATATATATATATATATATATATATATATATATATATATATATATATATATATATATATATATATATATGTGATATAATATTGTGGGTTGAAAAGCCTATATGCTCACCAGGCTCCCAAGCCTGACCCACTCACTTTAATTGTATCACAGGTATCGATACGAAGTTACTTTGCACTGAGAGATTAAAGGATATGTAAATCACTAGAGTAAATGAATGTATGTTCTGTTTATGCTTATGTGTCTATATTGGAACATGACATCCCGACATTTTATTATTAAATGAAAATACATTCTCTTTGAGAAATGTTTTGATAAGTTTTTATCATATCTTGTTTTGGGAACAAATTCCGCAGCCGTTTTCTTTAAACGATTTACTCTGATTTTATAAAACAAAGCATAAACAAATCGGTCTTTTCTCACTACAAGAAAAATCCGAAATAACTACGGAAATATTTCGTAGCTAAACCATGATATTCCGTAGTTACGTGTGGTTAGAGACGGAATTTGCTACGGAACCCATCTGTTGCAAAAATCCTCGTTACTAAACTTTTTTTACGGAATCCGTAGGACCTTCGCAACGGATTTTGCAACAAACTTATTTCCGTAGCAAAATACCTATAAACTGTATCCGTAGCAGTGACGTAGCAAATTAGCTACAATTGTTGTCCGTAGCATATCCGTAGCAAATTACCTACCACCCAATCCATAGTTAATCTGTCACAAATTAACTACAAACCATACCCGTAGCTAATTTCCATAGCAAATCTACTACGTGCAATGTCGTAGCAAATATTCCATAGTGAATCTACTACGATCTAATTCTGTAACAGATAGTTGGTAGTAAATATACTACAATTTACTTCCATAGCAAATTTACTACAATATATTTTTGTTGCAAATATTCCATAGTAAATTTACAACAACATATTTTCATTGCAAAAAAAAAAATTATGACGGAATAGATTCCATAGAAAAATCCATAATAATTCAACTACATAATAACAACGTAAAAATAGCCATAGTAACTCTGTAACAATATCAATAACAAAAAATGGTGACATGATTATTTAAAAAACATAAAAAATGATTCAATTTTTTCTTCTGAAGCGAATTTATAACAAAATCAAGATTCTGAAATTGCAATAACAATAAAAGAAATTACAAAAATACTTAATAAAAAAATAGTTTATCGTCAAATGAAATACCCCTATGTCCAAAGCACCAATCAAATTAGTGTAATACTCAAACTCAACTAGAAATCCTAAAATGCAATCAATAAAGAGTGTATCACTGATTATTCATATCATTAACCATGTTTCTCACATCATCCAACTCCATCCTTTGTTGGTTTATGGTTTCCTCTAATTTCTGGATCTTCCTCTCGAGATGATCTTTCTCAAAACTTGTATCTGGTGAAGTGCATGTTTGAGAGGAGTTTTCACGAAAAATGGACCTGCCATATGATCCAAGCCCATAAACTCTTTTCTTACGATCATGTCCTCCAACAGCTGCATAAAACAGTTCGCTTTCAGGAACTTCCTCTCCTAGCAATGCCAAATCCGCACGTCGAGACACAAACAAATCCTATAATGATATTGTTGCATTAATATATTTTTTTATACAAGATTTTTTTAAAAAAAATTCCTTTTATCAAGTAAATTAGAAATAAACTTACATGAACTTCTTTAGCTTTGTCAACTTGAAATGTTTTTCCATCATGATCCTTAGTATGAGTAAACATGAATAGTTCATAGCATGATGGAGCTTTTCCTGTATATTCCTCCTACATTAACACCAAGTATATGTCAAACACAACATGAAATGAAAGAAATAAATTATCATACTAGACTTTAATAATTTACATTAACCAATAATAAGGAAAGGCGGTGGTTATATTATACAAATATTATAGATTGCTATAACACTTTTCAAAAAATGATCATAAGTAAACATGAATGTAATATGCCAAAATAATTAAAACACACCTCCATTAGATGAAATGAAAATAAGATGTTAAAAATAATATTAGTAGTTAAAATACACATACCATATCAGCAGCAATTTGTTGATGTGAAGCCGATCCACCATTATGGGTAGGTGGGGCTTTTCCACCAACTACACCTTTACGCCTATTTTTTTTATTTTGCTCTGATTTTTTTTGAAGTCCTCTGAATTCCATATTGCATTCCAAGCATTCCATACTTGTATTTCTATGTGACATGGCTTTTCACGAGTTGGGTTTCTTGTGCTTATGTCATAGATGTACTGTCGATATCTTTCTTTGGCCTTTTGTTCCCAAGCAGCCTTGACGACTGAGTCACTAACAGCAACATCCCACTGGCATTTTTTCTATAATTCATAATAACAATTAAGTTATAATATGTGATTGGTGTGACTAATAATTACAAAAAAACATAATAATAAATAATCTACCTGAAACTCTTCCCAATAGAAAATTTTTGTCTCTTCACTTAAATTTACCCACTTATATCCATTTTCGTCCACTTTATCTAGGAATGATTTCGTAATTATGGACGAACATTTACCTGAAGGTAATAATCTACAAAACAAAAAAATGCATAATAATATGAACTAATCAAACTTAAATAAAAAAAATATGAAAATCAATTAGTATTTTCACTTACGTATTTGCCCGAACTGTAATATTCATGCGTTGTTCTAGTTGTGCATCTTCTTGTTCAGTAGCAATCGGTGTCGATGTGGCTGCTGTGGAGGAAGGGGCGGATGATGGGGCTTGTGTAGATGAAGGGGATGATGATGTGGCTGATGTGGATGAAGGGGTTGATAGGGTACTAAACAGTGGGGCTGATGTGGATGAAGGGGATGACAGGGTACTAAACAGTGGGGTTGATGCGGATGAAGGGGCTGATAAGGTATTAAACATTATGGGGGTAGTAGATGCTGTCGTTGTCGATGTAGGGGAAAATGATGGTGTTGGTGTGGATGAATGGGTGGTTATTGGGGCTGATTGAGTACCAAACAGTGGGGAGGTAGATGTTGTCGCCTCATAGTCGGTGTGGATGCAGGGGTGGATGCTTCATTCGTGTACCTTTGTAACAACCTATGCATGTTCTTGTGTGGCCTTGTTGGATGTCCTTTCAATGGGAACGGAGACATCTCTTCTGTAATAACAAATTTGAAATGAAATATTATAAGGAGGCCAGGTTTACACATAAACAAACAAGTTATATTGAAACTGATAAAAAAAGTCTGATAAAATCAAGAAGTATGGCAGACAACAACATATAAATGACCGATAAGTGAAACATTTGTGGGTATCTTTCCTTTTAGTGTCTTCCTACTTTTCTGTAAAGCCATATACGGTTGTCTAGTAGCAATCCAATCACGAACTGGTGTTATTCTGATCGGTAAAAAAAATTCTTCAACAATCAATTTTTTTATTCGGTGGGATCTCGATGTAGAAACTAGAGAAGATCGAACAGATTTATGTAGAAATTGTAGAAACACAACTAAATTACATGATTAATTTTACTATCTTTGATACTTATAAAAGATAAAGATTAAGAAGAAGATGGAAGAAATAAAAGAAAATTTACCAGAATCTGTGGGAGCACAATAGTAAGAAGCAACGAACAGCCCTAGAAGTCGATAGGAAAGCAGGACGAACAAAGACGTCCACCACCAGGATTACTCTTGACGTGGGGAAGTTATGCGTAATTAATGGGAATTGGTTTTTAAGGATTAGATACAGGGAGATTTGGTTTGGCGGGATTTGAAACAAGGATTAAAAAATTTCAATCAATGATAAGATATATGTAAATATATATCCGTATGATTTACATGGTAATGATTTTATATATATGGAATGGGTAACAAAATGATTTTGTAGCTGAAACTCACTCCCGTAACTAAAATTATTGCAGTATGAAACCTTTTTCCTTTGAAAATACACAAAATACCCTTCCTTGTTATAGATGTTGTTGACATTACTTATTATTATCTACTTATTCATATATGCTCGAAATTATATCCATATGCCAAATCTCATGGAAAATTTCAAACAATAGTTACTCCAATTGTAGTCAAAGAAATCAATCAACTATTTTTCTCAAAATTTAATAATACTTACTCCAATTGTAGATGTTTTTTTGAAGGCTATTCTCATGTATATGACATCTCCATTAGAAATACCACCCTGTATCCCACCAAAATGATTTGTTATTGTCCTAATCTGTCCATATTCATCCGTATAAAGCACAAAAACCAACTATTTTTACAAAATCAAACATAAAGTAAATTGAAAAATAACACAAAACCTGGACCTGAACAAGAACAAAGTTGGAAATGTTATTGGACTGGTTAGTTTGGACCGACCCAAGCTGTGTCAGGATTGGCCTGATCAATCTTAATTGGATCAGGTTGCTGGGCATAACATCATACGATATCTTTTTTTGATTTTCAATATGTCCAATTTTATTTAAGGAAATTCCGTATTTACCCCTTAACATATTAGCATTTCCCCACATCATTAACCAAAGTTTCCACCAAAAGGACTACAAAAAAAATTAGAAAGACTAAAATACCCTTGCTAGGAAAAAGCAACACAGAGTATAAATTGGTTTGTCCTATATATGCATATAGATTACAATGTTATAATAAACTAAAATAATTAAACTGTGATGGTGTAACAAACAAATCAATACCAATATCGTTCCCATTTGTAAAGCAACTAAAACCAAAAAAAACAAATCTCTAAAGTTTCAAACAAATCGTTAATGAAGCCTTACTCATTATCATCATCATACATATCATCATTTCCGTCTTCTTCTTCGTTTGTTGATGAATTGTACCCAAACTCACCCTCATTGTCATCATCATTATCATCACTAGAAGCATTGCTTGAGATGTCGCCATACTCGATTGTTTCATCACGTGAACTTGTGGATGCTTCTTCCATAGGGCTAATGATTTCATTTGGTTCCGCTTCATCATCTTGAAAAGCATCATCATTTTTATTATTAGTAGTATTTTGTACATCAATCCATCCACGTGGTTTAACTTTACATACAGCTAACCAATCAGACATGTTTTGCTTCATGCTAGGGTATGGAATGAAACAAACTTGAGTTGCTTGCACAGCTAAAACAAATGGTTCAAACTTTCTAAACTTTCTTTGTTTGTTTATGTCAACCAGCTTATATTGCTTATGGACCTTGACCCCAACATTAGGAGTTGGATCATACCATTCACAGTTGAACAAGACTGTGCTTTTGATTGGCAAACCAGGATATTCAACTTCTAGTATTTCCAACAACCTGCCATAGTAATCACAAGAGTCGCTACTTATACACACTCCACTATTCATTGTCACTTTGTTAGCACCATATGATTCTGTATGAAACTTATAACCATTGACAAAGTAGACGTTATATAATTTCACCATCCTTAAGGGTCTTCTTGAAAGATCATGTATATACTTGTTCTTTATTTGATTTTGACGTGCCTATATTACATAAAAGGAACTACATAAGAAATCTGTCAATAATAATAATAATAATAATAATAATAATAATAATAATAATAATAATAATAATAATAATAATAATAATAATAATAATATCCTAAGCACTCACATAATTCTCAAACCAGGAGGCAAAGTTTGTATCCACTTCTTCCATGAGATCATGTTCGCTTATATCAGGATATAGTTCTTTCAGCAACCTTTCATATTTTCTGTACACATAATAAAAATAATATGAAATCATGCAAAGTTGAATAATATGTTACTTTGAAATGTCAATTACAAGCTTACTTGACATACGGTTGCACCTTCTCTTCATTAAATAGTATGTAAGAATGTAATGCATTAAACTCCTTATCACTTAACCTCCTACTCTTGAGTTTTCCATATGCGCGGCCATGATGTAAAAATATACTCAACTTTTCTTCATCAACATCTTCAGCTCCTCCATCATCATTACGAGGCATCTTTCTGATACGTGTATAAACATGGGGCTCGAAATAGTGAGAGCAAAAGTTTGAGGCTTCACGAACCAAGAATGCATTGCAAATTGACCCTTCCACTCTAGCTTTGTTTTTAACATCCTTTTTCAATTGATGGAGCAATCTACAATGGAACAGACAACATATTAAAGTTAACCAAAGTTAACATTTAATGTATAAAATATAATGCGAAGTACAAAATTAACCTTTCAAATGGATACATCCAACGATATTGAACAGGGCCTCCTATCTTTGCTTCATATGGTAAATGTATCGGTAAATGTTCCATCGAGTCAAAAAATACAGGGACAAATATCTCCTCCAATTTACAAAGAATTACAGGAATTTCAGCTTCAAGCCTTTTCATGTCTTCAACAGTAATTACTGTTGCGGTTAAGCTTCTAAAGAAAAGACTTATCTCAGTGATTGCTTCCCACACCTTGGTTGGTAACATCTCGCGGAACGCAATTGGCAACAATCTTTGCATAAATACATGGCAATCATGACTCTTCATTCCAAATAGTCTATGTGTGCTCAAGTCTACACATCTCCCGAGATTCGACACATAACCATCTGGAAATGTCAAATTCTCCACCCATTTACATACGACTTTTTTTTCCTCCTTGCTTAACGCATATGGCGCTTTTGTATATTGACCTGTAACTTGATTTTTACCAAAACCTTTTCTATTACAGAAGACTTTCAAATCAGCTCTTGCTTTTGTATTGTCCTTTGTCTTGTCCTTCACATCCATTACTGTGTAAAACAAATTTTCAAAAAAATTCTTCTCAACGTGCATAACATCAAAATTATGTCTTATTAAATTTGTTTTCCAATATGGCAAATCCCAGAATATGCTTCTTTTTTTCCAACCACATCCAACTTTTTTGCTACATGATTTATTTACTAACTCAGCATTAACTTCTGTCACTTTTAACAAGCCAAAATCTTCAATTTCCCTTAAAATTTCTACACCATTCATAATTGGAGGAGGACCCCTTTCTTCTATACGGTTCTTGGTGAACTTAGTCTTATTCAATCTGAATGGGTGATCAGATTTGAGAAATCTTCTATGACAATCAAACCAAGAAATCTTTTTACCGTTTGGCAGCCTAAATGCTTGTGAATATTTTCCACAATGTGGACATGCTAGCTTACCTGCAGTTGCCCAACCAGATAGCATGCCATATGCAGGGAAATCGCTAATTGTCCACATTAAAGCGGCTCTCATTTGAA